ACGCCTTCATAGACATGAGAGTGTAGTAAAACGTTCGAGTTTGTAAGTACATCTTGTGGTATATGGTAAACAACTTTAAGGGGATCTCTTAAATAACTGTGGGATCTGCGTAAGCCAGAAATGCAGTTTTGTGCTCACATGTTAATTTTTTTTTTTTTTTTTTTTTACTTCTCACCTTTACTGTCACTTTGTCAGCTGGGATGAAGAGGAAATCAGGCAGCACAGCTCAGGTGCCTTATGCTCCCCGAGAGACTGATGACTGACCACTTGCTTTTCAACAAATTTCTTTCTTTCCTCCCTAGCTGTCTCTCCTCAAGTTCTTGGAGTGGGTGTGATAGATGCAATGGAATGGGTGCAGTTCTAATTACTGATGGAATTTGCTGTACTGTGGATTTTTACACCAAAATCCACTATACTGTGGATTTTGGGAAATATATTCATGTACACAGCATGAGGGAACACAGAAGGCTTTTATTTTCAGAGAAGACTGCTACTGCAAAATATATAATATCTAGGCCTCGTAAGCAGTGGCATGTACCTTAGCTTGGCCAAGGTATTATTCCTTCCCCGTCTGCCCTCTCATGATTTTATTGCTCCCTTGTTTTCCCTTCCTTTCTGTACAGATTTGCATCCTTTAGCCGTCTCCATTCAAAGACTCCTGGTTCTGTCCTTAAGGCCTCAATTACTTGTCTGTGTTCTTTCCTCCTCTAGTTGCTGCTTCATATGATTTCCCTCCTAATAGCTATCATACCTTGTCCTCTCCAAGTACACAGAAGTCAAGTGCAGACAGGTTCCTGTGCCTTTTATAGCCTCCATTTTCTGTAAGGAATGTGTGATTTCCAAGACAACCATCTATTCGTGTGCAAACAGGCACTCGTATTACTGAAGTATATCAGAACATCTTAATATGCTGAACTTTGATCAAGTGCGATCTCTTCTTTTATGGGTTTGAATAAAGTCTAGCATAGTGAAGTGCTGATCTGTGAGCTAGTCCACAGAATATCCAGATTTTATTAGAAAATAGTTTTTGATATTTATATTTTCTCACAGAAGTACACATAGGTACTTGCTTGAAGATACTTTAATGATGTAGAAATAATTAATTCATTTAGCATTAGTAGGTTTACCTGGTTTAAGGAGATGAAGAGTAACAATACTAAAAAGAAAAAAGAAGTTGAAAATGTAAGTGGAAGTGAAGTTAGAGGTCAGCATTTATATGGTTTCTGTAAAAAAAAAATCTTTCCAATAAATTAATTGGGATTTAGGTATGCAGCATGGTTTAAAATATGAGTTGTACAGTAAGGTTTAAAAAGCAGGTTTGTAGCTTCCATCTACTGAACTGTCTAAAGTGTCTATATGACATCAGACACGTGGGCATCTAGGGTATGAGCTCAAGAAAATACACTGGAGTGTACTTGACATACAGGATTAGATTTCCTTTTCAGCAAAGCACCAACTGCAGGCTTCAGTGGGATTAAATGTTTAGCTGGAATGGCTGTCCTGTGGCACATAGGAAGACCTATATTGTGAGGAACAACTGAAATGATCCCATCTACTACAGAGAGAAAAAAAAAATTCCCAAATCAAAACTAGATTACAAAATTACTACTTTTCCCCTTTTCTAGTCTGTGGTGCATAAGAAGTCTATGGTGCCTTCTCATACTCGAGCACCAATTAAAGCATGATTGATTCACCAATTAACTTGGAAAAAAATGCCTTTTTCATGTAAATATGCCTTGTTCTCTCAAAGTGGTGTCTGTAAAGTGCAAGCTCATTAAACGTGATGAAACTGTTGTAAATCACTGTAAGCATGGTGCTTTATAAGCTGTGTTGCTTTTCTGTCCTTCTAGATGGAAGAAGATAAGGGTTCAGTCAGCTCAGCATGTGACTTTGCTGAAAGCAAGCACAGAGGGGAGGACAATAGGCAACTGCTAGATCCATCTAGCCCGCAGGACAGTTCTTACGTTCACTAGGTAGTACTCCCACTCTACCCTATTGTGTGTGAACTTTTTTTTTATATCTATCATTCTTAGTCATGCAGCCATCTCCAAAATACCCATTTTTTTTATATTTGCAAGAAATTCGCCATCATAATATGTGGGCTTGGTTTTGCTTATCAGACAGAATCGCTATCTTTTGTTCAGCATTTCAGCTGCTTTTTGATTTATTACATGAAACGGTCCATTATACTATAAAGTATTATGTTGTTATGATCCCAGGTCTTGCTTTTGAACTGTTTCTTCTTTATTTGCAGCTCAAATACGAGGGCTATTGGATATTTCTCTAGATTTATTAATTTTGCATTGGTTCTCCTTACATTTGTTTCTTGAGGATGTGATTCAAGTTTTCAGATGCCATTTTACTGTCTTAGAATGTCAGGCTTTACTTTGATATAAAATTGTCTATATTTGTCCATAACGGAGAGAAAAATGATAAAAAGAGATTCTATAACATAAGTGTCTTCCACCCAGGCAGCTGGCATAAATGTAAAAATCTATATCCACCAGGCAGTGACACACAACATGCCTACATTTATAACTGCATTTATTTTTAGGTTGTGTCCTTAATGCTCTCCTAATATTACTTAACTGTGAATGAGATAAACAGTAAACATTATGTTTGAGGTTCCGTACATTTGCTGTTCTAAAAAAAGATAATGTTATGTCTTGCATAAATCGTGATTCTAACTCTTCATATGAGTGTCTGACCGGGGAATGTTGACACAGCTGAGGATTCAGATTTGGGTGACTTTGGTTATTTTTACCAGCTTTCTATAGCATCTAGGACTGCTGCTAACTCTCTGGTCTCAGCAGGTAGTATCTCTACTGCTTTCTCTGCCAGGGCCTGTGAAAGTTCAGGTTTAGCCTGCAGAGAATTTATGCTGCTTAAGGAATGGCAGGTGAATATACAAAAAGAGAGAAATATCCACTGGAAAGAAATAATCATTTGTATATAATGAGAATTAAATTTGTCCTTTGTCCTTGCGAGAAACAGTTGCAAATAGAAATGTGTTTTAATCTTGGCATACTACTGAAGGCAGTTGTTCCTAAAACTCTTCTAAATTATTCGGGGAGATATGTTTTCCTCAGAGATATTTAATATTTTTTCTGCACAGCTGTAAATTGTGCTGCTCCTAATTAAGGTGTGTTCTATGACAGCACTGTTGTGACTACGTATGATGGCCATCAAATAGGGAAGTTCAGAGACACAAGCTCTGCTGACATTTGTGATCGTGGTTTGTTGTTCCTGTTGTTTTTACCAAAAAGATCCTTATAGAGCTGTTGGTTGCAGTGGTTCTGCCTCTGCCTTTAGGTATTTACAAATGATCTCATCATATTAAATATTCATTCTGTGTCAGGAGACCTTAAGAGCAAGTGCTAGGTATTTAGACGTGTATCCCGACTGTGCCTCTCATTCATGGCCTCCAAGTTACGGCAACTGAAACGGGTATCAGTTCTTTCTGTGCATTAATTTAATTACTAATTACCGATGCTCATGTAGGCAGTGTGTTAAGCAGTGTTGGAGGGAAAAAGTGCAGCCATCCCAGAGGAGGTAGAACATAGGAATGATACAAGTCAACACCAGTTCTGCCCAGGTCAGGTTCCTGTTTTCCCAGTGCCTTGGAGGATCAGGCTGCTCTGTTGGCTTTTGTGCTCCCTCCTTTCTTCACCACCTGAAGTTTCCTCCTAGCTTTCCAGAGCCTTTGGTTCCTGTTAGTAGGAATTGTGCTGTTATGAAGCTGTAATCTGTGCAGTTGTCTGCTTTGGAGGATTAGGAATTAGGATACTTAACCATCCCACTAAGAAAGTGGGAGGTTCTTTGTCTTCCTTGTATTGGGAAAGTGTTAGTGGCATGAAGGAAGTGGAAGGCCTGAAAACTGAAGTCTTTCAGACAGCTCTCATCCATCTCAGCTTTTGTCACAGTGTGGAAAGGGGGACCTTCTCAAAAATGAGCTGTGCCCTGCAGGAGACTGAGACTCCTCCCAGCCTTGCGTTTTCACCAACCTGTGTGTTTGGCATTTGTTTGACTTGAAGCTCTCATGGAGAGTTTGCATTCAAAAGACTTCCCCGCCCTCTGCCTCTTCTTGTTTCTTTGGAATCCAGTCCTCTATGGAAAGGATACCACAATTCATTTCAGATATTCTCCTTCCAGCTTTTCAGTAGTGCTAAATTGCAGTTAGGTTTTAGCTGTGCTGCAGTTGACTTATATTAAAGAATAACAGAGAAGCATGCTAACAGATGGCACTTAAAACCCATACATCTCTGTAGAACTTCTTCTTTTGTTTTATTTGGGTCTCTTTCTCGCACACTAAGAAACAATTGTGTTCTTCATACTAGCATGAATCTGACTGAGCTTCCTTAATATCAGCCTGTTGTTTGTGTTTAGATAAAGATCTTTACAAAATGAGGAATGTGCTTTGGTTCCTTTTCCAAGCCTGGGGTGATAGTCATTAGTAGGCTAATCTAAACCAGGAATATAAACTGCTGTAGGAAGTTGCATTTTACACTACTTGAGGAATAAGGAAAGCTTATGACCAGTTTGCTGTCTTTTATTTAGCAATTTTCATCTAAAGTTTTGTCTCTTGATAGATTTCCTTTAAAACAGCAGACTTGCAGCTTGTTTAAATTGTGGTACCTTCACTGAGGCATGACACATAATCAAGGCATGACAGCTTATCCTGCATGAGGCTTGCTCCGGAGATTCATTACAGCTGTAGCACCTAGAATTGCCAGCCTCTTTATTTCCATCATTAAGCAAGGATCGTGCTAAACCATCACCCTGCTCTCAGTAATGCTGTGTTCAAACCTTGGCAAGATCAGTGAGCCAAACATCTATGTTTGTAGCCCTGAAGAAGGGAAATAGTGACGTTATTGCTCACTATAGTTTCCCTATAAAGTTTAAATATTCAATGCTAATTTTAAGAAACTGAAAGATGACATCTTTATTGCTAGAGTCGCCCAATACTGATTTTTATTTTTTTTTTCCCCATTTATTTCCAGCTTACTGAGACAGGTTCAGGTATCAACTGCTTGGACTCCATGTGCTGCTTCTCAGATGGGGAAACAGCATGCACATCTCTTAGAAGAATGCTGGAACGACTAATGGGAAGATGTAGCCCTACCCGGGTCAACAGGTGTGGAATTTCTCTCAATAGCCTTTGCTGCAGGCGATTCTCCTATAAACTGGAACCCGATGAGCCTGCAGCTATAGATGTCTAGTAAACCAACTGCAGGTTTTACTTATTTAATAGGAAATGCAACTCTTTATTGTACTTTTTTTTCATCCTAAAAAATAGTTTCTTGTTTCTTTTTGAGTGCTTTCTTTCGGGATGGTGGGGGGGAAATGGTTTTCAAAAGATTTCCATTATAACGGTTAGTTTGGCTTAGTACATGATCTTACGATCTTGTGTTGTATCTATAGTAATTTTTCTTGATTTGTACATTCTTCTGTTTAGAAAAAAATCAAGCCTCAATGCTGTGCTTGTTCTCCTGGTTTATCTTTTTATTTTTTTTCCTTCACAAATCAGGAGTTCTTTGTAAAATCAAATGCTCAAAAGCCTTTTCCCTTTGGTTCTTGATGTACAACCTCCAAATATTTACCTTGGAGCTTGGATTACTTCTGAAGATATACACAAGGCTCACACCCCCCGCCCTTAAATGGAACTTCATTGTTAGAAGGAGAGTCTTTAAATCTTTCAGCCATTAATTGATATGGAAATTAAATATTTTTGTAGTAAGACTTTTATAATCTATTTCTAAAATCTAAGTAATTGACAGAACAAGAGCCTTCAGGTTCTAAGAATTTTAAGCATTTTCTTCAATACTAGAAGTACGTTGTCAAAATCATGTGTGCCATTTGAAAGTATGTGCTAAATAAACCTTTTCCTTCTGAAACCATATGTGTGAAACAAACCTCAATGAGTTAAAAGCATGTTAGAGTAACGAGAAATATTTCAAAGGAGTCATACTGCTCTCGCAGCAGCCATAACTGTGATAAAAGCTCTTACTAATCTGCTAATGTGCCATCCTAGCACTTCCAGATAAAGAGGGCTAGCTAACAAACATGGAAATATTTGGGGGTAGAAGTAAAAATAGTCCTTTGTACATCGTAATCTCTCAGCCCCAGAATGATATCATAGTCCTTCATAAGTCAAAAGTCAAATCTAAAGTTTCACTTCACAGATTTTCGAGGGAAATCATTTGGTATCTGAACAGTTTGGTACCCTTTTAGTTAATGGTTGGGGTATCATTTATTCCCGATAAAATCTTGTGTGAGTGACTTTCATTGACACACTTTGTCAGTTCTGAATTTTTCCTTTAGATATTGGCTTGCTATGAAGTACATCTCTGTTTTGAGACTTCTGTTAAACACAGTGTCTGTAGTTTCCGTCATTCTCTCTCCACTGGCTTGCTTATGAAATTTATTCAACATTTCCACAAATCTGGGATGTGATTATGCAAGATATTTCATTCCATATGAAAAAAAAAAAAGGAGCTGTTATGATCAAATACATTTTAATCAAAACTCTTGCTGTAAAGAAAGTGGGCATGATGTGTAAAATAAACTGTTTAATATAATTTTTAATCTACAAGGTGAGCATTTAATTGGTCTAAAAATCAATAATTTGGTAGTGGTTGCTTTAAGGATTTTTTCCACTTGTTCTCTGTAAAAGTGCTTTGCAAATGATGATCTTGGCTGCTTTTTCATTTTATTGTTATCTAATAAGTGTAGCTTTTTAGTTAAGGTTTGCTTTAGTAACACAGTCATATAAGGTAGGTATTCTATGATTTATTTCTTCTATGTATTTACATTTTTACTGTTTCATTTTACACTCATCTTGATTTTCTTTAGGAACTTAAAAATATTTATTGAAGATAAAAATCATATTTGACAGAATATGAAGCACTTTTTGCTTTTTCTCAGGTTTCTTGTCTGTTTACTTGCAGTTATCCCTGAAAGTTGCATCTAGCTGAATAACCTTAGAGTTGCTACATTGGTGTTAACATGTTAAATGAATATGCAAAGCTATCTTGGTACTATGCTAAGGGCTTGAGGTTCTGTTGGTTTTGCTTCTGCCTCTAGTTGAAATTACACCTAATCTCATCCTCTGGTTTCACTTAACTATATGTACAGTAGAACTAGAAAGAAGACAATATATTTGGTTGTAGAGTTACTGCTTTTGATGTCTTCAGATGGTCACTATTTACATTTAAAACCTAGCCTAAAACTAAAGGGATTAAAGGAAATTATCTACTTTATTACCCACACTTTCAGCTGAATATGTGAAAGTTTGTTTTAGTAATGTACTAATTGCTTAAATCACGAATCAGTTACAAGTTGTGAAAAGCTGAATGATCATTTAAAAAACCTGGACGTTTAAAAATGCCTATAAAATTTAGCCTTTGGTCCTAAGATTGATCTGCTTTGATTTTTCGCTAGTAGTTGGTATCAGCAGAAGATCAGTGTCAAGCAGAATGCTTTTTGTGCTGGTTCTGTCCAAAACAGCATCTTATTCAACAAGAGGTAGCTGCAAAATTCACTGAATGCATTGATACCTATGAATACATGGTGTGTAAGAGCATGTACAGAGAGGACTGCTATTTAGATAATAATGTAGATAGCTCATGTTGTATTTTCTGTGTGCTCCTGATGTTCTGTCAAATATGATAAGTGAACATGAAGTCACATATCGTATCAAATTTTTGGTGGAAACTTTGATTCATCAAAGTTGTACAAATGCTTGGAGTAGAGGGCCACAGGAACGTAGTCTCTTGTAGTTTCTTTACTCTTCTTTAAGTGGATTCAAGAAGTATTTTCCATAGTTTCATTCACCAACTAGAATATAAAATGTGTATCATAGTGTGGTAAAATGCATATCTGTGTCTCTGTTCCATTAAATTGTCTGTCAACTTGTCAGTCACTAAAATACTGAGAATGCTGGATCACATGCACTTGCTTGTTAAGGCACCACATATAAAAGTTCTAAAGAAACAGCAGATGTCTGACAGGTGAATTTGGAGGATAAAGTCTTTATGATTGCATTTCCTGCCTTCCTACCATTTTTTTTTGGCTATTTTTTCACATATACAGTCCAACAGTATTGCACATAAATAGTTCAGCCAAGAGCAATGGTCTGTATACGGTAGAAATGGCTTATCTTTAAGAGAAGTATTTCTAGATCACACCCACATCAAAAGCTCCGATATCTTCAATACTTCTCCTCTTGCTTAAATTTATAGCTTAAGTCTATAGCTTAAATTTAACAGTAAGCTCTGAATGAAGTTCCTGGCTGGAGGTGGAATGGATTTCACCCAACTGAAGCTATAGACAGCACAGGGCTTAGCATTACAGCACCCCTATACTGGGATGCCCATTAGCTGAGCATACTCTAAGGCTCTACTAAAATGATGTTATGCTAAAATTAAATTGTAGCATTCAGCATTCCTTAAATTATACACACAAAAAGCAGTTTCCTGAGGCACAATATTAAAACTTCAATTGTCAAACTAGATCTTTAAGCCCGTTTATTTATAGCAGTGTAGATGTGTGTAGTTGTAAGCAAACTTTACCTTTCTGGCAAGCATAGACTCATAAATACATAGTTGGCACTGGTAATTGCAGTGTAATTTCAAGAGTTAGAATGAATTGCAGGTGACTGCACAGAATTAATTAATGAATTTTTTTCAGGAGTTACACTTGCCTAATCTTACAATTTTTTCTTGCTTTCATAGACTCTGCTCCTCACCTCTAAATTATAGGTTCCCAGTCAGCCAAACTTTTCTTTTATTGTTACTTTAGATCATGGAGTTCATCGGATCCCTTCTATGCCAACGACAGAAGCTTCTTGACTCTCTCCACAATGGACTCACCCACTTGTTAACAGGGACCTTTCTAAATGCCTTGTGGAAGCCACTGGTGCTCACAAACCCATAGCAGGTCTTGAAGTGAGTTCAGTGCTCTAGCCCTGCCCCAGGAAAGACTAGCATGACCTGAGCTTCTGAATGCAAACTGTAGTTTGTCTTGTGGCCTAGCATAATGCTCATCTGGACAATAACTGCTTCCAATAATTTTTCTAATCCTACCCCCAAGTTGCTAAATATTTTTTAATAAGGAATGCTTTTACCTCTGGCCATTTAATCTCTTTTGTTACCATTAACAGACACGTAACAGGTACAATTAACCCATTGGAATCCTGCATTCGATACTTCAAATGTCACTATAGCTCAGTGGCAAAATCTTTCTCCTCCCAGTGATCCGGGTGACCTAATAGAATTGAATATACACGGTGAAAATACAGTTAGCTACATTATTCATGATAATTTTTCACATAAATTCATTTGGGGCTGGCTTTCACAGTTTCTATCTTAGTAGTCTGTGGATCAGTCTTTTTTTTTTTGCCATGGACAGTTGTTATATTCTGTAAGGAATCAGTTTAGTAATTTTTGTGAGTGAAATGCAGTTCAAATATTTATGCTGGTTAATGAATGGCTATATATATGTGTGTATATATACACACACACACACACACATATATATATATATATGTATATGTGTGTGTGTGTGTGTATATATATATATAAAAGTTAGGTTCCAGAACAATAATTTGGGTTTTGCAGGGGAAATAGCAGTTCACTGTGCTCTGTAGAGCCCAGTCGCTTTTCTTTACGTCCTGATGTTTTGTTACCGATTATTGATCCTGACATGGGAAAATGGGAAAGAAAAATGTGAAGTTGATTGTGCAGGTGTCTCACTAGCATAAACTCTTTGAATAATTCTTTTAAAGTTGGGGAATTTTTGCATGTTTTATTCTTTCTAATGTATTTATATTTGGTCATGTTGTACTTTGAAGATATAATTAATGCTTAATTATCTTCATATGTCTGAAGGATCTGACATACCAATGGCAATGTTTTGATACCTAAGTATGACAATAAAAACAAGTTGCTCAGGTGCAGCTTTGAATGGTTCATCTTGCAGGTACATCTTTTTTCTTTTTTACCAGTATAAACATGTCCACCTATTTGGGGCTGGGTAGCAGCATTTGTTACTTTATTTTACTAGGATGTCTGAACCTATTACTTGTATTTAGGTGCAGAAGATGAGATGATAGTCTTCTCCACCAGTGAAAACCATAAAGGATTGCCCTAGGTATCCCTCAGCTATAGGCTAATGAACAGTGAAGATGCTGCTATTTCTGGACTGTTGTTTGAGAATCCAGTTTGAGATTAGTCTCTGACATTGAAAACCTGTTTATATTGGAAGAACCTGCCTCTTATTTAAAAAAAAAAAAAAAAAAAAAGTAAAGCCACATATTATCTCTCAGTAGTATATAGTATATATAGAGCCCAGACTGTAAATAGCACCTGTAATTACCTTTTAAATCCAGATACAGGAAGGCGTAGGATTTGCACCAAATGGTAGCAACTGCTCTCCACAAGTTTCAGATACTGTTATGTGTGGCCTTGCATGCATATTACAGGGCAAAGGCATTTTTTCCCCTCGCGGTTCAAAGACTCTGAGCCTGCTGATGTGACCCTCGGGGGAAGCCTGGGCTCTTACCCAAGAGGTTTGTCCCCTTGTGGCCACGTTGCAGATGCTGCTGAGTTCAGTGAGCTGAAGGGAGAGACTTCAATGTGTAATATGAGTTTTTTCTTTCACTGGCATAGACAAAAATGAATTCACAAATTGATTGAAGAAGCACTTAATTAATAATGAAAGAAAAGAAACTATCAAAATGTGGCAAACTTTAAGTTTAAATTCCATGTTCGTAGTTGCAAGCTCACAGTGCAGCTTAAGCATGGACATTCACGTTGTATGCTGCGTGCCCACATTGAGGGTCCCAATCACCTTAAGAAATCAGTGTCTGAAGATTGAGTACTGCATGTAATAGATATTAATATATGTCACTTAATGACTACGTATGCTTTTTGAAACCTGGTTCAAGATCTAGTTACCATGTGGAGATGCAATAAACTGGCTGTCGTCTTCCCCATTTCCCAAGAAGACCTTTATCTACATATATCAACATAAAGGAATGCACCAGGACTTTACCTTTAATTTTTTTTATTATATTATAATCCTGTATTTGCTCAAATAGTGGTCTCTTCCTGAGGCATTCTTTATCCTGTCATGGCTATCTAAGAAATAAGGAATTTTGGTTTTCTTCAATATTCTAATCAGATATCTGCTGTTTAGCTGTGTCTCTTATTTCTAAACCACAGTGTTCCGCTTTTCAGGAGTGTTTGTTTGTCCACGTCAGCCATAATGTCCCCATCACCCCGTCAGTTCGTGTGGCCATATATCTGTGTGGTTAGTACATCATTTGGTGAGATCTAAGCAGTAAATTACAGGTAGAAAAGGGCTGAGTCTTTGACTCAGATACAGCCCCGCTCCAAGCATTTATATTGATTCAG